TGGCCAAATTTCATTTGGTATTGCTAATTCAATATCATAACTATTTTTATAATCAAAATTTAATATAAATAATAATTGTTCATCATGTTCATGATATCGAATAAAAGAATAAATTTTTTTTGTATCATATAATGAATGATTAGCAAATTGTAAATCAATTAATTTTGATGAAACACAATATATAGCTTTATGATTATGAACAAGTTTTATAAGACTTTCATAGAATAAACGAAGACTTTTTTGTGCAACTGTTAATTGATTACCATCACATGCACCATTATTATACCAAGCTTGAAATTCAGGAATGCCCTAAGCATAATAAAATATCTTATAGAAATCTTGAAGAATGATCAAAGTTTTTATATGAATATATAATTAGTAAAACACAACAAGGTTGTTTTTTTTTGTTGAGGGTATTTGAAAAAATATGTACATATAGTTCAAACATTATATATCACAGTTTATTAGATCATTTTTTTTTTTGGTATATTTTCTTTTCTGTTTAATGAATAGTTTGAGTAAGATTTTTCAACGTCTGTTAGAACAAAAACACTAATAAAATTTACATACTTCTATATAAGACTACTTCTAATATATCATGTCGGAAAATGTATCTCTTTTTTATTCTATTAATTCAATGAACTTCCAAAGCTTACTTCAATACTATTTATTAATTCCCTTTTTTTTTTCTTAAATTACCCAATAATCGAAAATAGTTGTTCGACCATCATCTCCTTGAAAACCTTTTTGTCCTACACTATCCACACCAATTTCTTGTCCAAAATAAATCATAAACGGACCAGAATGCATAGCAGCTGTACAAACAGCAGCTGGTATTGCTTTCCATGGATTACCTGCAAATGGTTTTGCAGCAATTCTAAAATCAAAACAAAATTTAATATCTACTTTTCAAATAAAACAATTTCTTTTTCTTACCTAATTTCATCATGATTTTCTAAAAATCTTAACATATGTCTGTCAATATGTTTTAATTCATTATGAATACGTGTTATATCATTACAATTTCCTAAAATTGATCCTTCTTCTAATAACCAACGTAAACCATCATATAATCCAACTTTATCATATAAATAATCAAAAAGACCATGTTCAATATAACGTTGATATAAATCTGGTCGATAAATTTCAGCAATAAAAACAATTCGTCGTTCAGGATATGCTTTACGTATTGATGTTATTAACCAATGCCAGAAATCAGACGGAACCATTTCTGCCTAATAATAAAAAAAAAACAAACAGAATATTTATTTTTTCGAAAGATAAATTTTAAATTTACCATATCACAACGAAAACCATCAACACCTTTATCAATCCAATAACATAAAATTCGAAAAAGTTTATCCCAAAGTGGTGGTCGTGGATCAAAAAAATTTTTGCCCACAGCATAATCAGTTCCATAATTTAATTTAGCAGTTTCAAACCAATCTGTAATTAATGGTTTTGAATGAAATACATCATTACCTGTTGCACGTGCTGGTCTTTCAGTATATTTTGTTATTTTTGATATATCAATAGATAGAGGTATATGTTCAACATTTGGCATTTGAAATTCTTCATTTTTAATATAATAAAAATCATTTGTTGGACTAAATGCTTTTGTTTGATCATCGTTTATACCAAAATCTTCATCAGGTCGAATATCAGAACCATATTCTCTAGCAACATGATTAGGAATAAAATCCATAAGAACTTGAAGACCATGTGCATGAGTACGTTTAACTAATTGTTCAAATTCACTTATACGATTTGGAATGTCAACAGCTACATCTGGATCAATATCATAATAATCTTTTACTGCATATGGTGAACCAGCTAAACCTCTTTTTTAAAAGAAAAAAAAACCAAAGCAAAATAAATTCATCGAATCATAACAAAAGAAAATATATTAAATTATTCATTACTTGACAATATAAGGACTATCTTTACGAATTCCATATGCTGTATAATCAGTTAATGTTGCATGTTCAAGAAGTCCACAATACCAAATATGTGTATAACCAAATCTTTTTAATTCATTTAAACATGCATCATTAATATCATTCATTTTACCGACACCATTTTGTTCGATAGTTCCATGAACAATATTTGTTAAATTTCGATTACCAAATAATCGAACAAGTATTTGATAAACTATTAATTTATCATGACGAGGTTCAGATGATTGACACGTACAAAGATTTTTTGAAAGATTTTCAGACATTGTTGAAACTATTAGCAAAAAGAAACCAAACAGAATAAGAGATATATTATCAAGAAATATATAATATTAGTACTAGAACGTAAAGTAAAAAATCGTTGAATTGTTAAAAAAACAAATTTCATAAAAAAATGATCTAAAAGAATGTAAATCAAAATGCATTTTTCATTTCATAAAAATTATATTATTATAAAATTAAGATTTATATTTATTATTGATCATTCATATATCATCAAATTCCTGTTATGAATATTCCCTAGAATATAAATCATCCTCCGAAATTTTTTATTGTAAGAATAAAAATAGACAAGGTTTTTTTTTAGTCAAAATATTTTTCAAACACTTTGTTTCTAAGCTGAATAAATTAAAATCACCTTTATTCGATGATCTACAATAAATTAAAAAGTAGTCATCATTTCATTTTAATTTCAATTAATTACAAAACAACTTTCATCTCATTCTTTTGTTTATAATAATTTCATTCAACGTCTTCCAGCATTCATTCCTTTATGTTCAAGAGCTTTTTCTTTTTCTCTCTCTCTCTCTCTTCCTTCCATTCTACTAGAGCACCTTCTACTACTTCAATGGTATAAATGAGTTGGACGATGGATGATTTCATTTCGAATGTATATAAAAGAATCAACATGCCTCCAAGGGTGATTTCATTTGTGTCATTGACAACGGCATACATAGATGCATACTCTCTCATTTCACTTTGTTTACATAGTTCAGCTCAATCAGAGAACAAGTGAGAGAGCTTGAGAGGTACCGCTATGGCGTTTTCCGCACGACAGAAAAAAAATCAATCTCTTTCTCTCTCTCGTGCTCGCTTTTTGCCTTACTCTTTGTTTCCCACTTTCTTTTCTTTGTTTGATTACACATACAACTAAAGAGAAAGAGAAAGGTACTTGAATGTGACAACCTTTTCTCAGACGTAAAAGAATTTTTTTAAAAGTCTTCTCAATACTTGTTCGCTCTCGCCTAGCTAGTTACAATTGAAGTATTGTGTCTGTTTGTGCACACATAGAGAGTGAAAGAGAGAATGAGAGTTCGTATAATTAGAAAAAAGAGAGAAAGAATAGAGGGAGAGCGATGAAATATATTTTCATTTTAACATACCCATATAAAGCTCAGTCACTCGTTTGGAAGGTATGTGAAAGAGTTGGACACATACTCATAAAGGTAATTATCACATCAGTCTTTTTTACATGACTAAAAATAATTTCATCTTGATTTCTAATTGAGTTGACAGCACAATAGGACAGATAGTTATATAAATATACGCGCAGTTAAATTTTATAATTGATCTCTGTGAGTCAACATTCATTCTTTTGCTTTCTCTATTTCCTACACCTTGACCATCAGCAAGGAGTAGAATATATATGTCATAAATACCATGAGATAGCTAAAGAATTGTGCGCTCACATACACGCTTATATAGATGGAGCAAGAAATGCATGCATATATACATGTATATATACGCCCATATGTCGATATTTTTTTTTCTTATCCATCCTTTTTCCTTTGTATTATGTATAGTAGCGAAAAGAAGAAGGAAGACGAAAACGAGTTCTCCTTTTTTTTCTTTTGTTATATGTTAGACAAGGAAGATTTATGCTTGAAGACCTTGCATGACGTTGTTATTGTCATCGTCGTCATCATCGTTGCTACGACGATGTATGCATATGTATATTTTTTCATTTCAATTGCTGCTCTTGTCTCTACTCGGATGATGATGGTGTGTACAGGTATGCTACTTTCTGCCGTTGTCGTTCTCTTTCTTCTTTTCTTCGTTTTTATTTTTTGATTTGAATGGTAAGTGCTCTATGCTGTCTCTTTCGTACGCGCTCTCTCTCTCTCTCTCTCTCCTTTTTGCTCTGTTACAATCCAGTTTACTTGCGTACGCTTGTGTCTTTCTTATTCTATATCTTCGTGTCCTGTTTCGATGCATGCCATATGTATTTTTTTTTTCGGAGTAGTATAAAAGGGTAAGTCATGACATCATCCAAATACAGGTTAAGAAGATTCTCTATTTTTTATTTGACACTAACTGAACATTATCGGAATTAGCAAATAGATTAAAAAGCAAAAAAGAAAAAAAAGAAAAGAAAAAAGATATCTTGATATATTCCGTAAGAAATCGGGAAAAGGGCGATTGCACTACGCCAATCGCTCGTAATCATTCTACATGTAATTAGTCTTTTTTCTCGTTCTTTTATGCATTTATATTGGATTTCTCTCTCGTTCTCGCTCTTCTTCGTTTTCTTTCAAGCAAAAAAAAAAAAAGTATTACGAAAAATTCTCTTTTCTTTCTTTCTTTCTTTCTTTCATGTCAATATGTTGACAGAAAATAAAACGAAATAACCAATGCGATTAGGTCGGTGTTGCTGCAATTTGTCGATAAATTAGATTCATATTGCACTACATTCGATCTCGTCGTCATTGTGTCATATAACGTCACAAACTCAACTACAACGACGAGATATATTACATAAATAAAGAGACATCACATAATAATTATCTGTGTTTCATCAGGAATAACAGATCTCAGAAAAGAATAATTAAATAGCTGATAGAAAAACAAAACAAAACTTCATTCATATAATAGTTTCATTTTTTTTTACGTTTTTCTATACATATGCGCAGTGAACGTAAACTTTCATATCAAATACGTGACTAGATGTAAATAAAACAAAAAAACAAAATAAAGACAATCGAAAAGAAAAACAAACAACTGAATCTCAATAATTACATAAAAATACATAGGAAACAAAAAGTAACTTTAAGAACTACCATCACCAAATTGACGATCCCATGTAATATATTTTTCAAGTGTTGATGGTGATACACTTGGTCGAATTTTTCTTAATGCTTGAATGAAATCTTGTCGTGATATTGGTCGAATACGACTAACAGATAATTCTTTTAATTGATCAACACGTAATTCACGTACTGGACCCATTGCAGCATCTTTGGCTAATGCAGTTAAATCACTACCCGAGTAATTATGTGTTTCACTTAAAGAAATTTTTTTCATATTAATAATAATAAAATAAAAAAGCAATGTCTTACTTAGCAATCCATTCGAAATCACTGGAAGTTAAACTATGTTCTTGTTTACTAAGTAAATGTTTTAAAAGATGTTTACGTGTTCTTGAGTCTGGCAATTGAATATAAATACGACGAGGAAAACGTCTAAAAAAAAACAATAAATCGAGATTTACCAAAAAAAAAAAAATTATTTTTTTTTACGAATTTACCTTAATGCTGCATCATCTAATTCAAATGGACGATTTGTAGCAGCAAGAACAAGAATACGATCATCACTGTTTGTTTGAACCTAAAACAAGTCAATTCAAATCTTAATTTCAATTTTACTTTTTTTCTTTTGTTTTTATAACATACACCATCAAATTGAATAAAAAATTCAGTTTTTAATCGACGCATTGCATCATGTTCCGATTCTTTACGTTCAGTAAGTAATGAATCAACTTCGTCTATGAGAACAAAAAGAAAAAAATGATAAATGATATGATAATAGATTAAAATATAAACGAACCAATAAAAATAATTGATGGTTGTAATTCCCGAGCTGCAGCAAATAAAGTGCGAACAAGTTTTTCACCTTCACCAACCTAATGAAACAGTAAGTATAAGCATTCATAAAATCAATGGAAATATTATGACATACATATTTTGATGTTAAACTAGATGCAGTAATGTTGAAAAAACGAGCTTTTGCTTCAGAAGCTACAGCTTTTGCCTTTAAAATGATAAATCAATGAATTAATTATGTAACAATTTATTATCAATTACCAGCATTGTTTTGCCGTTACCAGGTGGTCCGAACAATAGAATACCTCGTACGGGTGCCCGTAGACCAGTAAACATCTAAGAGAATGAAATTACTTTTTATTGTTCTTTTTATTTAAATAAGATAATTTACTTCGGGTCGAAGAACAGGTAAAATAACGGCTTCTTCAAGTGCTCGTTTGGCTCTTTCTTGACCACCTATGTAAATAAAAGAATAATTAAAATTTCTTTGTATAATAATGAAATAAAACATACTTATCATGTTGATTGATCTTATCTCAAAATATAAAACTAATAAATGTTTAGCTAACTTTAAAGAAATTTCTTTCTATTTAATATTCTCATGAGAATCGAGTTATGAAAATTTTATTGTTACACTTAATTATTCTTCTTTCTTGAAAAAGATTTATTATTACGTTGTTAATATTATGATGTTTAATCTTCATTTGACTACTAATTAATTTGTTTTTTCTTTATTTCTATGGCAAACAGATTTGATATCATCATTTTATTACTTGACAATATTCTTATGCTGATCTCTGTCATTTTCTATATCAAAATTCTATTTATCACTGCGTCTTGTTTATATATTTGCTCTCTATATGATGTTTCTATTTGTATAACATTAGTAAATCTATGTTATCTTGCCGTTTTATCTTTTGATTAATGAATAACTATTATCGTTTTGTATGTTTAATAAATAGAAATGTTGTTAGTTTGTTTAATTCACGATTTGAGACTGGCAATTATACATATTAGTAAACTTTAATCTTGCAAGAAATTATTTCACATAAGAAAAAAAAATCAATATTGTTTATTAAAAATGATTCCATCTTTTTATTATCATTAATCTAAAATCTAATATTTTGCAACTAGAGATAAATACATCCATAGTTTATGTTGAACGACATTCAAAAATTCTTTTCAGAATTATTACTGTGACCATTGATAAGAGAATATATAAAACTTATATATATAATCACGAATTAATACAGATAATAGATTAAACAATATGTAGAATTTTCAAATAAGAATTTCTATCAAATTTTTTATAGTAGAGTCCGGTAAGATCGAAAATTCTAGGACCCAGTCGAATCGTACTTTGATACTCTCAATGAAATGTTCTAATCGGAACTGGATAGTCACATCAAAGATAAAAGATACTTTTTCCGTTTTTTTTGTATTTGGTGATTAGTACACTCTAAACTTTTCTCAGATGATTAGAGCTCGCCAGCTTCGGGTTCGGAATGAACTCAGTGGGCTCTATTCTACAGGCAAACGGTTATAAAGGAAACTAAAATGTTACATTGGATTATATGAAAAACAAAATCCTAACAGTGTTTTATAGAAACGTATTAGCATTATTTAAATAAATTACTAAACTGGGTTATTTTAGTCTTTATGGCATAATAAAATGACTTACCAATATCAGTGAATTTAACATTAGGTTTATTTACTATAACTTCATCAAGAATATATGAAATAAGTTGTTTTTCAACATTAGGTAAATTAAGTAAAGATTGTTTGTTTTGAACAGCTGCTGCATCATCATCTGATTTTGATGGTAATTCTTTTTTTTCAACATTAGGTAATTTGAGTACAGGTCGTTTGTTTTGAGCAGCTGCTGCATTATCATTTAATTTTGATGATACTTCTTTTCTTTCAATCTAAATACAATTTTAAAATATTTAACTCTCATAAATGAACAATTGATTAATAAATTAATCAAATAATTTTTCTCACACTAACTACATGTGTAGGTGCCTGTTTTGGTTTAAGTGCTACACGATTTGATGATGATGATGATGAAGAAGAAGAAGAAGCAATAGCAGGTGACAAAGCACGATAGCAAAATTTAGGTAAAGCAGACTGGAAACACAAGCAACGTTAGTCAAGTCAACACAACAGAAAAATGCGATACGTACTGGAGGTGGTGAATAAATCTTATGAGGAGGCGTGGGATGTTGAGCTTTCGTTGGAATGTGACGAGGTTTTGGTGGAACAGCCTGAGCTTTTGCTGGTATTGCATTCTCTTTACGGAGTAAATCCTCTAAAAAAATGATCGATAAAACCTATGATAATAAAGAAAAGATAAACTCACGTAAAACATGCACTCGTTCACGAGCCATAGCTAAATTTTTACGCATTTTTGTATGCAGATCCACAGCACGATTATCTATTAATTATATACATTTGAAGAAAAAAAAATATTATAAACGTCCCACCTTTAGGATCAACATTTAAATTTACTGCTTTTTCTAATTCACGTATGCCTTGTTTGTATAATAGAATAGCCATTTCTTTATTATCTAATAAATTAAATAAAATCCATATAATAAAATATTATTTTTTTTTCGAAAGAAAATATACTTGATTGTTCGTCGAATTCAAGTGCTTGACGAAGAAAACCAACAGCTCGTTGATGATAATCATTTTGAATTTTGTACGGTTGTTCACCGTCCATACTAAAATTTTCACTAAATCAATTATAATAAGTTGAAAACAAACATTCAATAAAATTGACGATGAATTGATCTTGTCTTTTTACAAATTTTCATTCTTAAAGTAAAAAAAATCCAATCTAGTTTTGAAACAAACATGACACATCAGTTGACTCACAGATCTCGTCATGATCAATAACATCAAATGAATGGAAATTCAATCAAGCCGAGGATGTTGATATGAAAAAAATCCAAAACTAACATGTCAGAGAAGGACCAATTACAACTATAATGAGGATTTTTATAATCAATAATAGATGTCGCAAATAATCAACGTGATGATTAAAATAGAATATTTTAACGGTTCGAATGTACCATTGTGTATAAGGTAATAATAATAAAATCATTAGAGTAGAGTAGAAAAGCTCTATAAAAAAAATGCTTATTTTCTGTCTTGTCTCATTCAAACAGAATATATTGAATCGGTACAAGTGTTCGATTGATACAATGATCTTAGTCGATTTTTGGATGAATAAATTTCTCTCGTCGAGAAGAAAACAGAGTTAAATGTTAGACTGATTGTATTGGGCCAATTACGTGAGAACGGTTCCCACGGGCTTGAAGCTTCCAGAAGAAATTTCATAAATCGACTTCCACTGAATATTCTCTTTTAAATCTATCGAATTGATCATCAATTTTAAATGTGATTAAAACATTCCATTTATAAAATATAATATGCTTTTCACAATTTACCCTAAGACGAGCGTTTGTTAGCATTCTTTTCATACATAGTTTTCTTTGAATTAATTCTAATTTCAAAACAAAGCGAGTGGAATTTTTTTTTATAACTTTTCATAGAAACAAAATAGACAGCTGCAGTTTTCACCTTTAGAAAGAGAAGATGAAGGTGCATCGAATCGTATATTACAATTTTTTTTCTACCTGGATTTTTAAGGTTTTCAATCGATCTTTTGAAAAACCAGCGTGCTCTGTGAGGTGATTATAGTGAATTTTCAATTATCGAATGTGCATCCAAGCCGCTAATGGGAGATTAACAAAAAGCTGCATAAGTCTCCAACTTTTAGATTTAGTTATTCAGGAACCATAGATATTCTAGACAAAATTCTCGGCCGATTTTTCAAGCAGTTGCTGTAATAAAAGCCACATTTTTACTTTTTACTTATGTTAAAAGGAATCATTTTTTCGACACTTTTTTTTTACATAAATTTGATTAAAAAAACTTCAGAAAGTATCTTAGGAGAATCTGTAATATATGACTCGATGCGACTTCATCTTCTCTTTTTTTAGTTTTGACTTAAATTCTACGTTTTCTTATTGAACTCCGTGAAAGTAACATTCAAAAATGGTGTCTAAACGAAATTCAACTTCTCTTGTTTAATAAAGTTCCTCTCGAAAAAAAAATCGAAAAACATTTGTTTTTTACAGTTCTTCCTTCGATCTTTTAACATCAATCAAAAGCCTATGTTGATTTTTTTCCTTTCTCAAGATATTGAGAAAACCATGAGCAAAAGTGATAAACTAAGCATATGATTTTCATCCTTATTCAAAGCCATATTAATATCATAATTCAGTAACATTTCAACTATTCGAACTGAAACTTTTATCAAAGATGAGACTGTAGGATGAGTAGCAGACTAACATGGTTTTCGATTTGAAATTCTCTTGTGGTGAGAAAATTTACAAATTTCAACCTTTTATGTATGATAGAAAAGTGAATACCAATGTTTTCAGTGAAAATAGATCTAGATCCTTTAGAAATAATATTATTTTGTTGTGAAACGATTCTTCGTAAAATTCTGCATCAGGTAAGTCTTGAATGAAAGGAAACTGAAAATGGTTCTTGTATGTCTTTTATGCGCCAGTCTTTTGTATAAGATAAATTGTTGTAAATGCTGTTTGATGCAATGCATAAACCATTAATATTACCAAATTTAGATCCATAGTTAGTATCATGACAGGTTGCGCATCGTCAACATGCAGGTGCTAGAGCTTGTATTTCGTCGATTGAGCCTTGTGAAAATTTGTGAACGGGAATAGAAATGCGTTAGAATTGGCTGCATATACAGTATCAAGGAAATCTACGCTACAAACATATATACTCCAAAAAAAGTAATTGTCATGCAATTGAATAATCGTCATAGCTACTTCTTTAGTATCACATCAACTATGCATGTGTTTACGTGGAATCTATTGCATAATGCTTTATATATTAATTCTCGTAGTGTTTTTTTTTGATTATGACGATTAAGTTCATTGAGTTTTCTTTTTATGATGTTCTTGTGAAAGCAATGTTTCATTATAAAAAAATTATATTGATTTGTTCAGCTTCTCTCTTGTACTCAGGTTCCGATAAAACGTTAATAAACTAGTGTAAATGAAAGTACTTGACTTCAACAGGGAGACTTTGTTGTTTTACTCATCACATCAGCTGATACTAGATCTGTTCAGAAATATTCCAATAGATGACAGAAGAGTTGACTGTTTTAATCAATGAACATATTATCATCTTTTGCATCACGTACGAGTTGCCATCAACAAGAAAATAATGTCGAAAAACAAATATCTTTTTCATGTGTCAAAGTTTCGCTACTTGTTGTTTATCTATTGCTTCTCATATCTATTATTACTTGGACTTTATTTATTATAAAAGTTAATCTAAATCTAATTTCTTGCATTTGGCATTCCGACTAAATTGTCTTTCAGATTTTCCGTTATTGTTGCTTGATCAAATCTTTGAGTCGATTCAATACAAGTAGTACATTGTTTGAATTTTATTTTCATCTTTTGTGAAAATCTTTCGAATTGAGTTCGTTTCTTACGGTGAACATTTATACAATCTAGCAAAACTCTTGAGATGTATAAAATAAAACGAAGTTTGCAACAAAAGAACACACATACACATCGTATGATTTATTGACGCAACTTCTAATAGAATAAAAGATAAAAAGATTTATTAAACTACTGGTTTTGTTCTCTCCCTCTTCTTCTGTTCGTCTAACGAAAAATAAAAACACAAAATGTCACGCAATTATTAATGTTTATCATGTTATATATTAACAAGGTTAGTATTCAATTAAATCTTCTTCAATATATACTTAAATAAGAATTATTCACAGTACATGAGTTATTAATAAAATATTTATATGAATAAAATATAATTGCAAAAAGAATTTAAGATATGTTCAACACAATAATATGAAACAATTTTAATAGGTAAGTTGACGTGCTGCAAATCGATCAGGATATTTTCGAATAAAAAATTTTCTTGCTTCATTAAATGCAAATAAATAGAAGAAGAATGGTATGGGTGGTAACCACCAAAGAAAACGATTTGGATTAAGATTAAGTGCACGATTAAGTGTTGGAACATAAAGAAGAAAACATGCAAGAGCAACAGTAAATATAATAGCAAATACCATAAATCGATTACGAAATAATCCTTGTTGAAACACAGATCGACGTGTTGTTTTATTACCATATAAATTAGCAAATTGTAAAATAACAACACCAATAAAATAAGCTGTTTGTGCAGCTAAATCAAGGTTATGTCTAATTAATGAGAAAATAATCAAAATTCAACAATACAAAAATTCTAAACATATTACCTTTGTTCATATGTCCATTCTTGACCATAACTATCACGAACATCATTAACTGATGTTGATTCCCAAGCTTCACGTAAACCAATAAGTCTTGATGGCCAAAATCCATTTTCAGTCATTACAACAAGATAAGCAAAAAAAGCACCACTTGCTTCAATCATTGCTACTTGTCCATAACAAAGTGTAACCATTTGACTTGTTACCATTTTATCTGTTTTCTTACGTGGTGGTCGTTTCTAATAACAAAAAATTTAAATAAGTTAAATAAAAAAAAAAACAAATTTCAACTCACTAATATATCAGCTTCAACTAATTCATAAGCATATGAAATACTTGGTACTATATCAGTACCTAAATCAATACATAAAATAGTAATTGTACTTAATGCAAGTGGAACATCAGCAACAACATAAACAAGAAATGGTAATAATTCGACTAAATTTTTAGTAAATGTATAAGCAATAACTTTTTTTAAATTATCAAATATAAGTCGACCTTCTTCAATACCAGTAACAATAGTTGCAAAATTATCATCAAGTAATATCATATCTGCAACTTGTTTGCTTACATCAGAACCAGTTATACCTATGTTGAAAATAAAAAGAAAATTATTTTCGTAAGAATACATAAATTTAGTTTTCAAATTAGAAGTCTATTCTTGTTTTCTAATGATGAACTTACAAGGAAAAGTCTCTAACTGTCTAACCGTTTTTTCCAACAAATCTAGTGGATTGAATGTGAGTGTGCATGTACATGATCGAATGAGCCTTGAACACTCACACCTATCCTAAGTGCGATTGATATTTATCGTTCAAACACATTTGTTTGAAAGAGCGAGAAAAAAAACAAGAACATTTTTTATATAAAAAATCAGAAAGGAAAAGAAAGAATTATGTTTCTGGTGATCTCAGTAATGGTTCCTAAACGAAAACGCGCACGACAAAACTTGTGCACAGCGATTCCGAGGATGCTGGATGATGGTGCAATGTAAAAATGAGAGGATGTGATGAGATTGACTGAGTCCGTTTTGTTTTCATATCCTCATCTCTCGTTTCGTGTGCATGTTTCGTATACGCCTCTACAATCTAAACGAATCAAAAAAGTTTTTGACGAAAAAATTTATTTTCTCGGAAATAAGTCTCTGAAGTCCTAGCTGCTGGTCTTGTATTGATATTCAGAAACAGCATAGTCAATTACCAAATTTGATGAAAAAAAGCGCTTAGACAGTTAGGAACTTTTCCTCGTCAGATAGAAAACATAGACTAAAGAGAAACTAAAAACGACTAGACTCGCGATATATTAAAGCATGTGAATGAATCGTACCCATTGATATTCCAATGTCAGCTTTCTTTAAAGCAGGTGAATCATTGACACCATCACCTGTTACACCAACAATCCAACCTTGTCTTTGACAACCTTATAAAAATATTCAATTTATCTTTCAAAGAAAAAAAACATATTTGAAATTAATAATAAACCTTCGACAATAATCAATTTTTGTTGAGGAGATGTTCGAGCAAATACAATTTCACGATGAAGTGTTAATACTTCATCTAACTGTTGAGATGAGAGTTCTGCTAATTCAGTACCGGATACAACAATTGCACGTACATCTCTTGGATCAACATCATTAGGAGATATATTCAAACGTTCAGCCAAATCTTTAGCTATACACATAGAAACAAAACACTTTTTAAAAAATCTTAAAATTTGATCGTTTTTATTAAACCTGTGTCCGACGTAATAATACCAACACCTATATATAAATAAATTTCATTTGTTTTTGATTATTTAATATCAATTGTTTACCTTTCGCTATAGCTTTAGCTGTAATTGGATGATCACCAGTAACCATAATAACTTTAATACCTAAATATTAATAAAGAAAAATGATTTATTTTTTTCAAGTATATTTTTAAAACAATTCACCAGCTGTACGACATTTAGCGACAGCATCTGCAACACCTGGCCGTGGCGGATCAATCATAGTAATAAAGCCCAAAAATCTTAAACCTCTTAATGGAAAATTCACATTATCTGGATCGAAACTAAATCCTCTTGGAAAATTTCCTAATGGTAAACGTAAATCACAAAAACCAAGAACACGTTCACCTAAACCACCTAATGCCATATAAGCATCATTAAATTTTTGTTTCCACTCATCATCTAAATTGTATTCATTATTATTAATAAAAATTGTTTGACATCGTTCAAGTATTCGTTCTGGTGCACCTTTCATCTTAACAAAAAATAACAATAATTCAATAAATAAGAAATTAAAAAAAAAAATAAAATCAAAAGTCTTTTACCACAAGTAAATGTCTTTGATCATCATCATCAGTTTCATGTATAGATACTTGATATTTATTTGCACTATTAAATGGAATATCACAAACACGCTTATTTTTTGCACGATATTCTTCAACTTTGCCAGCAACAATTTCACCAAATTGAAGTATAGCTGTTTCACTAGCATCACCTTGAACTAGTCGTTGTAAAGGTGGTTTACTCATATTTTCTTCATCAGGCTAAACAAAAAAAATAACAACAACAACTTGATGAATTTATTTAATAATGAAAAGTTTTACTTTAAACACAGCTTTGGCACATAACATAGCACATCTTAAAAGTGCTTTGTAACCAGGTCGATTAGAATCTACTTGTGTTTTTTCTTCTCCTGTTGTTGGATCACGTACTGGATTTTCAAAAGCTAATTCAGCATCATGTGTATGTGATAAATTAACATTAACAACTCCACTATCAAGCCATAAATGTGCAACTGTCATACGATTTTGTGTTAATGTACCAGTTTTATCTGAACATATTGTTGATACACTACCAAGTGCTTCAACAGCTGTTAAATTTTTAACTAAACATTTTTTTTTTGCCATACGTTGAGCTGTTAATGCTAACATGACAGTTATTGTTGCTAAAAGACCTTCAGGTACATTTGATACGATGATACCAATAACAAAAATTACTGCTTGTAAAACACGAGTACCAAGAGCAAGAAGAATTATAAGAAAAATTAAACCAAAACCAACAGCAACAGCTGTAACAATATGAACGAAATGATTAATTTCAACATTTAATGGTGATATTTCATTACCAAGACCACTTGCTATTGAAAATTATTGTAAAAAAACAAAAATAATAAATTAAATCAAATTTTTGCCAGACAGAAAAATCATTCAAGTCAATGAATAATACTAGAATATTACTAAGAATAATAATTACTTTTTGACATTAGGATAGTATTCATTATCGAATCTAGAAAGATTTTCTAAATAGTTTGCCCTTTCACTTTAAATATTTACAATTACAATTGATAGTCAAAAGTGTTTCACGAAAAGGATTATTGAGTTGAAAATCTAGATTCTATCATTATTCGTTCAATAGTTCAGTCACTATGAGTTATTACCTAATTCAAAGTTATATAGCACATCATTTTTTACTAAAAGGTAGAAGATTTCCTTCACTCATTGCAAGATACCACATAGATATCAGTCCTAAACATCATTACATAGTACGGATTTAGTATGTAATGCTAACCAAGAATTACGCAGTATTGACTATAGTTTTAGTGTAAAGTTAGAGTCCTGCGGGATAGTTCAGAATCCCGATCCATGGGACACCCGGAATTGTCGCGAAAATTTTCGGTGCTGGCCTAGTCTGCAGGAAAAACCAGAATGAGTGATGTTTTCGATTTTTTAAATCCATTAAGTTCTATAAATTTATTATAATGTACCATTCTAGTTTCAGTTATATACTTAATTTATTTTCACGATGATAGTATAATTTATTGAAATGTTTTTTTGAAGCGGTGTAGATATAGATGTGTAAGAGAGTGTGAGTAACTGTATTTCAAGGGATGACTCACACTACTACAAAATCATGAGCTTGTGAAGCCATCATAGGTTTTAAGTTATACTAGGGAAAATAATATCACATCACAAACAGACCAACACCTTTGGTGTGGGCAATTAGCCTAGTTCAATACTAAATGAACAGATCAGGTCAGACTATAGTGTCAAAATTCCGTCTTGCTTAGTGATCTGCCAGGCAGCAGGTCATTCTGACAGTTCTGTTCGAGACTAGAAAAACGTTTGTCTCGCAGGACTCTATACAAAGCGCCTCATCAATTGACACTGAAATAGTATGCAAGAAAAGTCTTTATGAGAAGAAAATAATCTACTTTACCTAATGCAGCGATTCGTCCCATAACGGTATTATCACCTGTTCGAATAACCATACCAGTACATGAACCTTAAAATTCCAACATATGAATATAAAGAGAAAAAAAGCAACAAAAATAAAGACTTGTACCTTCAACAGCAAATGTACTAAAGAATGCAAGATTTTTTGTTTCAAGTGGATTATCATGTGTACAATCAGGTGATCGAGCTAGAGGTTCACTCTCACCTGTTAATGAAGAATTATCAACTTTGAAACTTTGAGAAGATAATACTCGAATATCTATAATAAATAAATCATATTTCTTTTTTAAATTAAATTTTATTAATATTTACCGGCTGGTGTTTTATCTCCAATTTTAACAAAGACAATATCACCAACAACTAATTCTTCGGCAGATATTTCAGTTTTCTGACCATCACGCATGACAACTGCTTGTTGTGGAACCTAGATTCATATATAAAAAAAATTTTTTTTAGACGCATTTAAAAATTTCTATATAAAAACCATTTTCTTAAATGACTCCATAATTTTGCCCGCCTTTGATTCTTGATAATAAGCAAATACTGCCGTAATAAAAACGACTACTAATAACGCAATACCTAACCATAAATTATCTTTTGGTGTTTCTGGATCTGAGCCGACTCCAACTCCATAAGCAATCAAACAAAGAATAGCAGCAACCTATTTAGTTTATTTTAATAGCAAACGAGTTGTTTTCTTTTTTCGTTATTTTAACTTACCCAAAGTAATGCAGAAAATCCACCAAAAAGTAATTTAGCAAATTTAACCCATTCAGGAACTTCACGTGGAGGTGTTAATGAATTTGGACCATTTTTTTCTAAGAATTCTCGAGCTTTTGCAGCTGAAAGACCTTGTTCAATATTTGTTTCATAACGTGCAACAACTTCTTCTAATGTTATTTTATGTTCATCAATTGTAACTTCTTTTTTTAAATTTTCAAAGTCACTAGCATCTTTTTGTTTATTTTTTCCTTTGCTACCTTAATAAAAATACAAATCCGACAAACCTATAAACATTCTATGAAATAAAAATACTTGGTATAATTGAACGAAAACAATTTACAAATCGATCTTTAATAGTCATTTATGTAGCATAAAATATTTACCGTAATAATCAGTCACTCAATGTTTTTGTCACGTTATTTTACAACGAAATTATTCTGTTTTTTGAAAAAAAAACCTATATGAATAATGATAACAATATGTAAATAGGTGAAGATTGATGTGTGTTTTCGTTGTGCAAAGCCTTAATGTATCAATAGAATGGTAGAGTTGATCAAATCATTAATTGTAAATACGCATATGATTCGCTATTGATCACCTGTCTATTCAAGGGCACGATATCGGTAAATTTATTCATAAATATGATTGCACAGTTTGTCTACTTCGACAACAAACATTAAAAAAAGACGTGTATTATTGCGACGATGCGAGAGAAAGATAGAAAAAAGAACGATATAATAAAGATGCGTAAGGTAAAAAGCAAGAGAACCGGAATTTTTCTTGTTTCGAACAACAAGGCCATTTAATCGCTCCGCATCACTGGTTTTCTTGCATTCTTCATTGCAACATATGCATATAATGTAGTATTGGGAAATTTTTTTTCTCTTGAATATGATATAGTCAAGCAATATTTAGATAAAACACATGAACAACAGCCACAGCAACAAAAGCAATGAAAAAAGCCAACAAAAAAAAACTTGATTATGATGTGTACTAAAATAAAAATGAGAGAGAAAAAAATAAATATTAAAAATATTATTTGATTGTTCTTACAAGAATTGCAGATCGATAATTTAATTTTTTAATTGAAAAACTTTCAGCTTTCTGAACTTTGATCAAACAGGTGATTGAACTTTCTTACAAAATAAAAACAAAAGAAAAAATTTCATAATGAATACTAATTTACTCTTTTTACCTTCTCCATAATAACGACGATGATGTGTGAACCTAAAAATAATAAAACAAACAAAATCTTATCAAAAAACAAAAATATTTCTTTTTACTCTGTTGCAATTTTGAGAAAATCATCAGAATTATCATTGCGTCCCATAGTTATAAATAATTGTGTAATAAATTCACATGGATGATCAACAAGAACAAGCCAATCACCCTTGAAACAGAAAACAAAACAAAATAAAACAAGAAAAACTTTTTATGTAAAGTTTTCGTAGAAAAAAATTTTTTTACTCGATCTTCATATGATTCTTTTGTATGAATACAAATAAAACCATCTTTATATGGTGTACATGTAATACCCACTATTTGATTAAAAAATAAACCTTCTTTAGAATATGGATTTTTTTTTGTTATATTATATAATCGTTCAGTTGTGATACAAAGCAATCGAATATGTTGTGTATAGCTGTGACGACTAATTTTTATCATTTTCGTTGTATACTTCAAATAAATAAGAAAAATAAAAGAAATTATTTTCTTGAAATTTCTCTACTTACAATGAGTTTTTCTGAATCAAAAATACACCTTTTTTTTGCAATCTCATATGTTTCCATCATTTCCTCAGCTAGAAAAATAAAAGAATTTAATATAAAAATATATATATATATATATATATTATTTTATTAGCTAACGTAATCGAATTGGTTGCATATTAAGATCATCTGGACTGTATGCAGATTTTTTTCTTTCAAATAAACGTTGCATAAGTGGTTTTTCTCTTGATGCTGTCTAGAAGAAATAATAAATCATTAAATGACTTTATTAAATAATTAGCTTCTTCTTTTTTACTGTCTCTTCTTTTGACGCAGTAGGTAAATTAACAACAATAACATTGATTTGACTATTAGGTGTTATTGATGTTGCTTGATCATTATTATTAAGCATAGTATCAAATTCATTTAAAACAACCTGTTTTTCTTCTTCTTTATTTGTCACGATATTATTTCGATCCGATTCAGGATTACGAACTGTTTCAGAAAAAGTATTGGTTTGATTGTTAATACTATGAATTGGTTCAAATAAATCTGTTTGTGATGAAGCATGCGAAATACTTATAGATTGTTGTTCATTCGGTGATTTTTTCGATGATGGTGATAAGAAAAGATCATTTATTATAAATTCAGAAAATGTACGTCCAACATTTCTTGATAATGATTGTGTTTGTCGTTTTGAAATAAATGTTTTATCATGAATTTTTTCTTTTTCTTCATTTTTATTATTGATTTGTTGAGTATTAAATAGTTTTTGTTGTTGTTGTTTCGTAGAAACTAATGAATCTGATGATGGTAAAGGATGTGTTGACATAAATTCATCATAATTTTTTAAATGACGAAGTATCATTTCATACTGAAAAATTGTTTCATCGAGTTTATTTCGACGCATACAAGAACTTGTGTACGATGGTGAACGTTTGATTCTTTGTGGTACAGATAAAACTTCGTTGTGATATTCTATATTATGAGTAAAATAATCAACAAGAGTTTCAAATGGTGGTTGACTATGTGTACTATCTGTACTATTTGTACGAGAACGTTGGTTAACTTTATATGTTTTCATTAATAATGGTACCATAGTATCAGATGCTCGTCTTGTTCGATTAAGTGCAAGACCGCTACGAAAAATAAGACGAACTATTTGCCAATTACGAATACCATTCGTTTTTGGATGTTTAAAAATAATATTTTGTTTTTTGTCAGTAGCTGTAGCCTGGCCGACAGTTGTCATAGATTGAGTTTGATGTTTTAAAGTGATTGCAGGTTGAGATGAAGGAATTGATAAAGAAATTTTCTTTTCAATCGATGGTACTTCTTTCACTGGTTCAAAAGTAGTTGTTTCTAAAAAAAGAAACAAACATTCAATAGACTTAATTACTCATTTAACCTGTTTTTTTAATTAATAAAAAACTGATTCTAAAAAAAAAAGAATTTATTATAATTCAACATGTCTTACTATCATTGTTTAATATAATTGACGATTCTTTTTTTGTTGTTTCAGTAGTAATTGTTGTCTCATGCGTAATTTTCAAAGTCGGTATGTTATTTTTCAGTGATTGTTCTCGTTGTTGCTTCGAATGTGAATAAGATGGAGGCAATATTGATCGTTTTGGTTTTTCTTCTTCTTTTTCTTTTGACATCCACATATTTCGAAGTGTATGAACATTGCCGCATACATTGGATGATGTGTTAGTTTCCATTTTAACAAGAAAGTTTATTAATTTTAATCAAGAATTGATCTTTTTTAGTCGAATATTTTGTTGAAAAACTATCTTGATATGATCAAGTCAACGAGTAAATCAAAAAATGTAATGAAAATCTGTTTGATATATTTTTATATGAGCTTGAATATATAATATGCTGATTGTTAAATTAAAAAGAAAAAGAAAACTAATAACATGTTGTATGATGGTAGATAAATCAAAAGTTAGAAATGTAGATCTATTTTATATGTGCGTGATGTGTTATTTTCTCATATTAAAAAAAAAAAAAAGAAAAAGATGAAGTATTCTGTCATACTTGTCGCAGTTTCTTTTATTATACTACACGATTCAAGATGAAGAAAAATAATAGACGCTAAGCAGATAAATGTAGATGCTCATGAACATAGAAGAATCCAGTAAACATTTTAATACTTCTTTCTTTCACTTGACGTATCGTTAAACCTATAGAACATTTGTTGAGCTTCGATAAGGAATTAGATGCATTGAAAATATGTAAAAGTTGTTCACAGAAAAACTGAAAAACTTATACAATAGATTTTTAATATTAATTATTATTATTTGCTTAATAAAAATATATGATTTTTTAGATAATACATCAACTCTTTATTGATCTCTACTTACATGATAACAAGAATACACGTAGGCATGTAACAGAGATCGATAGAATATACACGTGACATTTAATTGTTGAGTGAACAATTGAACATCATTTATCAAAAAATTCATTATAATTTGAAATAAATAATTATTTGACATATCTATTTTTCTTCAAAATAGTTCATTAATTCGAAAATTTATCTTTACTATGTATAACATAAAAATTGGTTGTATTATATTAATGAGCAAGAAATAATGTTTACGTTGACATATATATTATAATGATTCATTATAGTGAAAAACAAATTGTGTAATGAAGATTAATATTAACTTTAGAGATATGAGATGAAACTTTATTATTTCTTGAAAAGCTCGCCAATATATGATAAGTGATTGAGTGACTTCCACTTCTGAGCTCCTTTTTATTATTTATGAGCCTGATTAGATAAGCTTGAATGTTGAACAAAACATATTATTTTAAGATATTGTACAATGATCTGTAAGATAGATATAGATATTTATTTTCAAATGATTATTGAATTAGGATTTAGTTTACCAGAAGCTAACCTTTGGTTCACATCAATGACTAATTAAATCAGTATATTTTTGTTCTTGTTGACTTAAATCTTATGTATACATATTTAAATCCTTTTGATCAGCTATTTCAATATCAACAAATGTTTCTAGGCCATTTCTATTAGTATTTAATACATTGAAATCTGTTTAATGACTCGTATAAGACTCAATAGACATTCGTATGATGAAAAAAAATGTTATTCAGTTGTACTTTTATTTCATTCGTAATTATTTTCTTGCTTGTTCCACTATTCGATCAAATATTAAAAGAATAAAACAACTTAAAGTATATAAATACCTTATGACACACAAACTTCATTGTCATTTGTGTTTGTTTCTTTCGTATATTTTTCATAATTTCCCTAACTTTCATGTTGATGAATGAATCTTTTGGTGAGAGTCATGATTTATCCTGAATACTTTTTCCGAAACAATGCTTGATTAAGTATAATTTTCGAACATGTTTTTTTGATTCCTGATTTCATTATTAAATACGCGATATCTTACATTAAAAGAAAATTATAGATATATGGCGAGCATGTACATATATAAATAAAAAAATGTCAATGAAGATAAAATAATAAATTGTGTATGGTTTAGTTTTAAATATACCAAATAATTTACCATCATTAACTATTTCTAGAATGTTACTTTTAACAAATATTATAGAAAATAGAATAAAATATCTTTGGTTTGCTACAACTGATGCCAAACTATATTATACAGAGCTTATACTATACATGAATCAATTCTTATCTTCGAATGTTATCCAAATTATTCCATTATATTATAAAGCTATTGAATATAAATTGCTAGATAATGAACAATTTATTCGTCCAAGTTGTGTCATATGAATACTCGTTGGATTAAATTGATGCAGAGTATTATTTGTATTTATTAAATATGCATAAATCTTTGTCTCTATTATAGAGTCTGTTGAATCTATAATAAACAGAAATGTTTTTCTAAATCAAGAATGAAATGCCGAATTGAACAATTTTATATGAGAAAAAAAAGCGGTGAACATACATCTAACTCATAATCATCGTAGAACATAGAAATTGAATTGAAAAACGTTTTCAAAAACAATATAGAGAGTTGTAGCTAGAGATGTAAGCCAATTCGGTGAACAGCCGTCGCCGCTGATTTATTAAGATTTTATATTGTTTCCTATTTGTCATTTACCTGAATTGTGAATGCCAAATAATACCAACAGAATATTTCGCGTTCCAATATTGATAAAATTCCTCATAATTGTAATGATTCGATAATTCATTCGAAAAGCATTTACACAGCATGATCGATATCATTATCGATAATAGATTGAGAAATATAAAGATGGATATTTTATTCTACTGTAGATTCAACTTATCAGTGAATAAACCGGTGTTATTAATCAAGTGCACTAATAGAATTAGTGGTGAATAGAAAGATTAAAAAAGAGACCAGGTGTGTGTGAAAACAGAACTTATACCAGTGATTGTAAGTGATAAAAAAAATCGTATCGAAGATAAATCTACGCTGAATAGTAGCAATAGTGATGTTTTTTGTTGACAAATACATCGGAATCAATGCTAATACAATTGTTGCAGCAATCAGAAAAGATTTTCATGAAAGACAGCAAGTTGCGAAAGAAGTAATCCGTATCGATCTAAATTATATACTGTTTTAAGTTAGATTTAAGCTCTATGTTTGTGTATGGTTTTTTTTTTGTTAATAATCTATTACTTTTAATAAAATGAAGATATGGAAAAACGTTCTTATTATCTTATATCACTGTCCATTCTTACTTTATTTGTATTTGTTTAAAGCAATAGAATAAAAAGAATTTTATTTCAAATTGTTATGCTGCACAATGGAGAGAATATAATATTGATGACTATAAAATTTTCTTCTTTTTTTTTATATAAGAGATTGGGTGAATAGTGAGATTAAGAAGGTATTGATAACACTGAACTTTAAAAAAGAAAGTCATCCATCAAGAGATAGATAAATAATTATCATATAGAAATAACCTTCTCTTGCTAAAAGCAATAGTTTTATTATAAAAACTATATATCACAAAAGATTTTATCCATAGGTTTTGGCCTATATCATACTAGTAGATCATAGACTTGATGGGTACAAATCGTTCATACAGTCTTTTAAAAATTATTCATTCATCTTTATGTCGATTTATGATTGTCCATCTATATCAGTTTCTTTTGGTCATACACGGTCGGTGTTTTTCGTGTTGATTGTTTTGCGATAGTCGATAGTTTCTGAAGTAGACAAATAACATAACAAACTTATATTATATTTTCTTCTAAAAACAAAAATAAGTTTAATGAAAACATGAAAATATCTATTTTATGCTATTTTTTTACGTACGAAAACTCTTGCATCAATGATATTATGAGCAATCATTAGCTATTTAACTGTAGTTTAAGTGGATAAACTATTCGATCAGTAAGACGCAAAAGCGCAACGTGTTGAATCGATTGTTTATTGAGTTATATTTTGGGAAGTTTTCGATACTATTTCTTCATTATTTCGACTTGTTTTATCAATGACATAATGTGTGTCTTTGATTAAATGAATACGTTTTTCATATGTAGTGTCTGTCAATTCGACAAGTATACGGTTAGAAGCATATACCATTGTCTGACACTGAATAGTTTTTATACGAATTGCATATAGATTTACATCAGTACACAATGCGTTCTATAGGAAACTAGATTCCTTTTAAAAATTGGAAAAGTTATGAGTATTGAAGAAAATTATGGCTGTATGACAAAATTTTGAAATATTACAACATAAATTGGATAAATTAAGAAATATGCTTCTCTCTAATCAGCAGGCTACATATAATAATTTCGTCATTTTCAATGTGATTGGTTAAATAATACTCAATTATTTCATTTGTAACGAGTTCAATATTGTTCAACAATGGAAATTCATACGACTATTTATTATTGTAATGAGATGTTTTCTGTCTTTTTTGTTTACGTTGAACGTAAAAAAATCAATGAAAAGTTCGAATTTCAGGAAATGATACAAAACAAAGAATCAACATAACACAATATTCATAGCAATAGTTTACCGTTTCTAACAAGCTTCAATAATTTATATTAACCTTCTGGATAACCAACAGATTAGCTATTTTCGGGTGTGGATATACATAATTATTCTTTCAATGAAATGAGAAGTTCTACACTAAACATCTATACGTAATTGAAAATCAGAGAACTGAGAATTTTTTTTTTGAATCATACTTGCGAATGTCTTGTGCAGCCGTTATCATCAGAAAGATCTTTCTTTGCTCGATTTAGTTACCTTTTTCCTATTAGAAACCTTTTCTCATACAAAACTATGAAGATTTCATATCTTTTCAATAACTTCGTCTGCAAGAGTTCAAATAACACGAAAAGAAAATGTAACAATATTGACGGATCAGCATGAATTAAATTAGAGTTATTACGCAAAATGACACTGCTAACAAAAGCGATATGGATCAATATATCTTAGATTGTTTATCAAGGGAATGTTCTCTAGAAAATATGAACTATTTGCATACTGATTTCGAAACAGATTATTGTGAAATATGATTTAAAATAAGTGTTCAAGTATATATAGAATAAAACTTTGCAGTCATTCCATCCTATAGACATCTTAATAGAGACATATTACAGGCACCTTTAGCAACATCCCATCTCCGTCTTACACAGATTGGGACAGGCATTGTTAATATGCGATCGAAGACCGTATGTCGATAAGATGCCATTGTAATATATCAACTACTTTCTTAATGCATCTCTGGATGA